CCTTTCTTACTTTTTCCAGTTTGCGCTTTGCGCATTTATCTGGACCGCACTCAGAGCTTAGATCATCTGAGCAGCTCTTCGTCTGCAATGGCGGTCGGCAGCAGGGAAGTGCCGTATCGAAACAGAGGTTTGCAAATTAGATAGTAGATGCCATCTCCCTCACCTACCAGAGCCAGGGCGAGCCGTGTCCCCCGAGAGTGCGTGCGCACTCCACTCGGAGCATCGCATTCTCTTGGGCGCGTGCACGCGGCGCCTCTCTAACAGATATCTGTAGAGCTGCGGGCTGGGCGACACCTAATACATTTGCAATCTGCGAGTGGAGCCGGTTTCTTATAGGTATTAGGTAACCCTTGGTTATTGAGGAAACAACTCGGTTAAGGTGTTGAAACACGCTTGCTGCGCCATTCTCCCACGGAGATTCGTGCGCTTTTTCATCTGTCAGTAAAGTTCCCTTTAGGTGAGCCCTGCAGATTCCTCCAAGGCCCCCAGCACTGACTCAGCGAAGGAGTCACTCGCCGGCCCATTACCCATTACCCATTGCCCGCCGGTCAGCCCGCATTTTGGGTATAGGTGCCCGCTATGCGTGATCCCCACTAGGCGATCCTATATGCTAATTCAGCCACGGTGCAGTCCCCCCTCACGGGCGGACCCGTGTCTTCCCTCTCTGCTAACCATCTTATTATATGCGTACTCCCCCTTCTCAGGGCTAGTCCATATATTTTGCCATCTTATCTCTCCATTGGGTAGCAGGTGGCCTCTGCAGCGTCCTCCCTATCGGGACCGCACGCTTTCCCAACGTACTGTCGTATTTTCCTAGAATTATCTAGACGCTTGCGACTCCCAAGAAATATATCTAAATCCGTAAAACTTCTTTGAAGTGGGATAAGTAAGGGCCAGGGATCACGTTGGAAGACCGCGCCTCTCTTTGATGCAGGAGCGCTCACGCTATGTCTGGCTATCCTCTCATCGGAGGCGAAGGTAAGGTGCAGTCATTATGGCGTTTTTCCAGACATTTCCCCATTCGTGGATTACAATCCACTGATAGCATTGAAGTCCCCTACCTGAAGGGGAACACTCTGGTTACTAAAGTATATAATGACCATAATGACTGTTACTTAGCTGTAAGTGTCAGTCTCTTCAGCTTAAAAGTATGGTGTTTGCTTTGCTTTTCCTGTGCTTAAATGCGGAGCTAATTAGCAATAAGCTCCAGGTGCGCAAGCTTATGCTGCCAACTCATTGGCCCGTTATATACTTTTTCAGACGATTGGGTTTCTGAAACATAATCCCCATTCGTGAATTAAAATCCACTGAAAGCATTTCCGTTCCCTTCCTCGGGGAACGAGGGTTACTTTAGTAACCAGAGTGTTTTTTATTTTTAATAAATTTGCAGCAATTTCAAAAAATCTTTTTTTACATTGTCATTATGGGGTATTGTGTGTAGAATTTTGAGGACATAAATTAATTGAATCCATTTTGGAATAAGACTGTAACAAAAAAATGTGGAAAAAAAAGTGAAGCGCTATGAATACTTTCCGGATGCATGATATTGTGATAATTTATTTTATTTTTTTGCAGTTTAAATTGTGTTTTGTGTTTTATATGAAATGTTATATATCAAAGATCTCAATGGTAACTGAAAAAATTTTAAATATAAATAAAAACCTGAAATAGTATAACGGTATAAAAAGCCAAGCTGTAAAATCCAGCTGTAAAATTGTGGCATTTTAGTTTAAGTAACCCTGTCAAAACCCTTAATAAGCGGGTCACTTGGGTCACTAGTTGTAATCAAATGAATATGGATTTTTTTTATGCTGGGGAAATATTGCCTTGAGCTACGCAGATCTTCATCTACGACTGTCAATATATTCAGTAATGTCTTCTCTTTATGTAAAGATGCAACAAGGAATTGTGCAGCTCAAAGTCTCTTAATGTATGTAGATACCAAGGATATCCATAGGCAACTTTATGAAAATGGTGCTGCTAATTTGATGAATGCATTTATCCAGTCATTGTATTGACCTTATTCTAAAATGCGGAAGTGCGCCTGTTTTCGCGATTGTCTTAGAACTTCCGATTCAGTCGCCTATGGGAGAAATGACTAGGAATAATAAACAGCAGAAAATGGCCAAACTACTTGCTCAACAAACAAATGTTTGCATGACTTAACAGACCAAGTAGCATAATATAATAAGAAAATATTAAATTGCAACATCAAGCAGCGTAACGAGCAGTTGTTAACGTCAAAAAATGAATGGAAGTGAATGTGACCGGAAGTCGCGAGACAAAAAGATTCAAATGGCAGCGCCCACTCGTCAGCTGAGAATAAGGTGAATATTACTAATGCAACTGAAGTAGAAATATTTTTGAATAAATGATAAATTAAGAACATTTTAAACCTGCCCTAGAGATTTTTGTTGGAGTTTAAACAGAAAAGTATATAAGAACACACTCTGCAAGGGACCTTAAGCCAGGATTTGAACTCAGGTCACCGTGACCACTGTTACCTTGTGCATGGATTGCATTATTTATAAAATAAATACCCATGGCTTCTGCTGACACACAGGTCTTATGAAGCAAAATGAACGGTCTGTGCAAGAAACTGAACATTATATTTAACATCATTACTTTAATCTACAGTTTGGCAAAAAAAAAAAAAAATTATACAGTACATTAGCAGTTTTAATTGTGCATTTGAATTGCATTATGGGAATTAGATTTTTCCTCCAGCATCTTCTGATATTGGAAAGTTTAATTAAATTTTTAATAGTCTGAAGAGATTTCTGTATTGCTGTTGTAAATTTTGGTTCAAAAACCTGGTAATAAACTTCTGGTGGTTTTGCAATTATTTAATGGACTTAATTCTATATATATTACTTCTTGTACATTATATTGTTTTAAACATCTAAAATGTCAATAAAACTCAAGCTGTTAAACTTAACTTAAATTTTCAGCATCAAAAGTAGCCAAAGCAAAATCAAGGTCCCATAATACTATTCATTACTTCAAATAAACGGGGGGAAAAAATGGATTACAAAATGTGGACTTTTTTACAGTTCATTTGAACAAAATGACTTTTTTCTATAAAGGTTGCAGCATCAAGGATAAGCAGAAGTACTATTTTAATGAACAATAAAACACACATATAGGGCCTATCATACACCTGGCGCAATAAGATGCAAGATGTGTTTGGCACGATTTGTTGCTTTTTTCAGACCAATGCAACCTTAATTTTCATGTTTTGCACCATGTTGTTTAAATAGCAAATCCATTTGCGCCACTTTGTGGACTCATGGGTGTGCTGGTCTAAAATAGAAGTGTGTTAAGGTGCATTGTTGGCATGTTGCTATTTTAAGGAACTAATGTAGACTGCTCAGTAGACCAGCTGACCAGCGCAAAGTGTGTTAGTTGAGCGCCTTAAACATTTACACATTGCTGTATACACACAGGATGTACAGCTATACACAAATATCTTTACAAATGAAAAAAAAAGGATTAAATATTACAAAATTAAATATTTTATTGCATAAATAATAAAACAAGTACCATGCCATTCACCTCGAGGGGCTTTTTTTATTCACGACAACTTACTTTTGTATAATGTTATTATTATTATTATTATTAGTGCTTTTTTTTATTTTATGCATATATATTTTTGTTTTACTAAAAACAAGCTTAGATTTGTCAACCTGTTGGGTTTTGGACCATAGGGACATAGGACGTGTGTTTGGATATAACTCATTTTTTTGACCACACTCGTTGCTGGAAATTAGAACTGAATTTAGAAAAAGTTTCGGAACAAATCTTTGCTCTTAACAAACCAAATTAAAAATGTAGACTAATGGATGTGTTCAGTGAAGTGCGTACAACACTGTTTCCTTATCCATGAAAGTAAAAGAGTAAAGTAAAGTGGCCGAATGGAGGAGGCACGTTCTTCATCTTCATGCAGATAGTCTGTTTAACTGTTTTCTCGCAAGTGCACTTTTTTTTTTCCACTTACAAAGTCCGCCACGTAAATAGCAAATGCGCCATGGCGAGATGCAACTGACTCTTAAAGGGAATGGGAGATGAGCCGCTGATTGGTTTAATTGTAAAGAAAAAGCTCAGCACCATTTCTAAGGCTTAAAGTAAATAAATAATTTCATAATAATGTACAGTACTTGCACATATTGGTCCTTTCATTCAATACCTCAATTGTATTGTCATGAGCCACTAGTATTATTTTTGTTGGTCTGTGCTTTTTATTATAATTATTTTTCTTTATTAAGTCATTGGCATTTTATGAATCAAAAAAGAAAACTTGTTTCAGCTAAAAATTTTATTATTGTTTTATTGAAGAAAAATAAAGACATTTTAGATAGACTGAAGCTGGGTAATTTAACAGAAAATTTACATTTTTGGGTGTACTATCCCACATTATTACACACTACAAATATGAATGTTTATAACTGAATATAGCTGTTAGACAACTGGTTATTTCTTTGGAGTCAAATCTGTTTTTGTTTTTGATCTATGAAGTTTCATGGAGATTATAAACAAGCCATATGTATACTAGTTACTAATATATATATATATATATATATATATATATATATATATATATATATATATATATATATATATATATATATATATATATATATATATATATATACATACACACAAACAGACACACACTAGTTAATACTCTTATAATGTAATTAGATTGAATAGATAGGTCTTCTGTCAGCCTCGTATGTTACACGTCTTCAGTATAAACCCTCAAGGCAGGTCTCCAATCGGGCTCTGTGTGCAGAGAGATTTTTTGGTGTGCTGGCCCTTTAAGAGCAGTCACTGAAGCAGTCAGCCCTGTGTTGGTGCTGCTGCTGATGGCTGTGCTGTGAGTTGATTGGCTGTGGCTGTCAGGGCTGAGGTGCTGGAGGGATGCTGCTACGCATCTCTCTCTCTCTCTCTCTCTCTCTCTCTCTCTCTCTCTATCCCTCCCTCTCTCCCTCGCTTGCTTGCATCCCTTCGTATAATCCACATCTAGGGCAAGCAGGCTGAGAGTCAATCCAGTGCTCAGCTTCTCTCTGCAGACTGGGAAAAGAGTGAGAGAAAGAAGGCAAGAAAACGCTTCCAGAAGCAGGAGGAAACGCAGAAGGAAGAAATCTGGCAAGCAGAGACTTTCAGAGGAAGACCTGATCACGGATATCGTTTATATATAGAAATTGTTTATATATATATCTATATATATTTGTACACACGCATATTGATATTTATAGAAATATATATGTATACATATATACCTGTATATAATTGTATTTGTGCTCGTCTGTTTATATTGATATTTTTATATGTACTTGTGTGTGTGTAAATATATACATATATAAACAAATGAATATATATATCTATGAATTTATATACATATCACTGTGAAGCAACAGAAGCAAGAAGAGAACTCGACCATCGGGGCTGGTCTCTGATTCCGAGATCATACACACTATTTTCAGCATTATTTTTCCAAGCCTTTTGCATCGACTGGAGGAAGACTACCAAGCTTTTTCTATTTTTCATCACCCTGTTGCTACCTCCTCATCTCTTTTTGTGGATCGCCAGGAACAAAGAGGAGGATAACAGGGTTTGTGAAGATTTCTGCCATTTGTGCTGCCGTTCTGCGCGCTGCGTTTGATCTGAGCAGGCAGCAGCAGCAGCAGTGAGATAGAAAGAGACAGAGAGCGCCGCACCGCCTGAACTAGCCAGCATGCACAAACATCACCACTGCTGCAAGTGCCCAGAATGCTATGAAGTGACCCGCATGGCCGCCCTGCGCAGGATGGACGCCCCAGCATATGGAGAATGGCAGCCCGAACCCTACGGATACCCGGCCGGCTATGGGGGTGGCCAGACCTTACCGCCCCAGACCTCGGGTGGAGGAGGGGGAATGGGTGGAGGGGGCACTTTGGGGAGAAGTAAAGGGAAAATGATGTCAGCTGGGGGTCCTGGAGGTCCCAACCCTAAGAGCCAATCCAAGGGCGGCCCCAAGGTGAATGGTAACAACTCAGGAGGGCAAGGAGGATGGTGGCCCGAGTGCACCTGTTCCAACCGGGACTGGTATGACCAGGTAAATGGCGTTTGGGGGCTGTTGGGGGCACTGAGAGTAGGCAGCAGGCGGTAGGCAGTTGGTGTATGTGGTCTCTAGCTTGAAACCAAGTAGAATCAGCCAGCTCCCTTAGGCTACTAAGCGATGCATCGCTTTTTTTAAGGGATTCATCCAGTGTTGATCCTTTCATACTGCATGTGCTGTAATCTTACAGTATGCTCGTCAAGATTGATTCTTGCAGAGGAGTTTAATCTTCATGTATTTACTGCTCCATCGCTGCTTTATGGTTTCATCAATCCCCTGTGTACATACTTATCTAAACCGTCATCTGACAAGGATTGACAGGGCCGCTGTGACCACGCAACAAGTGAATGTAGCTCCGCCAATTTAATCCAAGGATGGCAGTGACCCTGCCAACACTGCCGCTGACCAGGCGGAACACACGATCAAATCTAATTTCCAACGAGTAATGGATTATTATTTTAGATTCAGGAGGTGAAGATGTTGACAACGTGTGCATTTTCATGTTCCTTTTCAGCCTGTTGAGATACAGCCAGAAGCGAGACGTCGAGCGTTATGCACTGTTCGTCTATCTTTTCAGATAGATTTTAACCTCATGTAGCAGAGCGTATTAAACTGAACCTGGAAACAGAAGCTGTAATTAAGTGAGGTGTGTGTGTGTGTGTGTGTGTGTGTAAGTGGCAGCAGGGGTGGGGGAAGGGTCGCTCTGAATGTATAAAATGGAGGAAGCAGGCTCTCATGTGAGAACGAGCCGCATGCATGCTCTGTGCCTTCAGTGTGCGTGCATGTCTACGGTGTGGGGGTGTGTGCGAGCGCACAGGTTTTTATTGGTAATTGTCCATGGCCGAGGGAGAGAGGATGCAGAGCGAGTGGCGGAGATGCAGAGAAAATGGAGGGTGAGATCTCGGTGGCAGCGAGGGTGAAATTTCACCAAGCGCAGGGAAGGAAGGCGTGAGCAAGGAGCTGACTAATTCTGCCTCCGTTCAGAGGATGGGAGAGGCATCAGTCAAAAGCAGTGCGGTTTTTCACTCATTCGCTTTTGTTTTAATCATGAATTATGCATGCCTTCTTGGCAGCATTTGCTGTAAACTGAACAAATGAACCCTTAAGATCTGACATTTGCTGTTTATTCTCAGTTTCTTCAGTAATTTCCCTCTTATTTTGATGTATGGCGTGCAGCAATGTGAAAATAAATCAAGCAAATATCTTCTCCTGCGCGCCGCACGCAATACCTGATAGGCACAAGCACTCCTAGGGCATATTGATGGAGTGTATGTTTAATTAATGAGAAGGAAATTGTTTAACAGAGGTATATAGGACAATGTCGCTATTAAAGATTCTCGTATGTGAGGAGGAGACCATGGATCATCTTGCTGGTTTCTCCTCCTCTGGTTAGGCTGTTGCCTGTCAAGATTATTAAAGAGGCTTTAGTTATCTTTGAAGGCCTTGTGGATGTGTGTCATTTGCGAAGGCTATCGCTTCTGAGGTACATTTGAATTGGAAGGCTGTGCAGTAAGTAAAATGGAAAAAAGCTGTTTGATTTTTGGCAATCATCACTACAGCACAAGATAGTGGTAATAATGTGAAAAACAGAGAAATCAGCCAATAAAGACAGGCGAGCTGAGGAAACAGAGTGGGTTACATAAGAGAAGGCAGTTGGTGGGGCTGCAAGAGGAGACGCTTTGAGAGAGAAGCCATGGATTTGTGAGCTAACGCTTGCCCACTGTTTTCTGGAAGGCCAGATTTAACTGCTTTTTAGTGCTTAGACTATAATTCCACAGTAATATCTGAAGGAAACATAATATTCATCTCAAGTGAAATCATGTAGAAGCTTCTTATTTGTTTTGTGGCAGATCTACAGATCTGTTTCCTTGCACTCTGTTATTGTGAGCAAATTGCATCACCCCTTCGATTTAGAGCTGTTTTCTTCTTTAGTGGTTGAGTGTGTAGGTTTTACACTATTTAAACAGAAAAGGCTGTTTTTTTTACATGTTCTCTGAACCGAATAGGTAAATCCCATTGGTTGAGCTAACATAGCTTTAACAGTTAATGTGGAAAACGCTGCTTTTTTAGTTTTCACATTTTAATCTATACATGTTAGAAGGTATTTACATGCAATATATATGTCCTCCTGTAAAGCAGCATACTCATTAGATTTAGAATCTGTTGTGGCATCCCATTTGATGTATTTCTGAGTGAAACTGGATTACTGAATGGGAAACAAATGTAGGTCAAGAGTTACTTTGTTCATTTATACCCAATTGTATTTATCTGTAGTTGGTTAGATTGTGGAAAGTGGATGTTACATGAGAGAACAGAGCCAGATGATTGGGTAAGAGTAGCTTAAAATGTTACAGATTACAAAAGAAAAGGCTTTTATTCTTTACTTTGGGATAATGTGCAGTGGTGAATTGTGTGCTGCCCGACCAGGAAACATGTATTAGGGAAGTTAATAGGGTCAATTTGGATTTCATGTCATATTTGATGAATAGGATGGTCTGAGTTGATGCGGTCAGCTTTACAGAAGGAATACAAAAACATTATCTTGCCAAAGCAGGGGATGTGTTCGGGAAGAGTATAGGCAGAATGAACCGCTTGTCTCTATGCACCAATTTATCATTTTGTACTCCTGAGCTTCTCAGCACAGTTATGATTAGGGTTAAATAACAAATGGGCCCTACATAATTTATCAGAGGATTTTAAAATTGCATTGGCTGTTTTTCAGATATAAGTAAATGAAGGTATCTTGATGTGTTGTGTAAGTGTTGTTCTTGCAAGTGCAAACTGTTTCTCTTGAGAATAGAGTAAACAATTAACCTGCTTTTCCTAGCTTTACATAAATAGTAGCATTCTTGATTGTGCTAACTAGGATCCAGGATGTCCACATTGCATGTGTGCCATGTACGTGTGCTCATGAACTGCGCTTTACAGATGTTGAAGTGTACTCGAAGATATCTGTGGGATGAAGTAGTAGATTTTAAGAGACTTTACTCCTCAGATGTCCTCAGCTCTTACCCCCAGCTGCGCTACAGACAGCCTCCATCTTAGAGATGAAGCGTCTGCATCATTTCATGAAGGTTTTTTTTTTTTTGATATGTGTGTGTTAACTCATCCTTGTATCTGTAAAACATATGGAACAGGCTGAAATGATGCAAGTGAGTTGTACGTGACTGTTTTGTGTTGGCTTAGAGACTCAAAAAGGCATCAAAAAAGGCTTGGAGACATCAAAAAGGCATTTTAACTGACCGTTTTATTATTTATTAAACCAGATGATTCGTAGACAGTCATCTTTCTCATTCTGCCTGAGTTTTTAAAAGTTTACTAATAAATCATGATAAATCCTGCATATTAAAACATTCAGTGCCCATTATAATGAAAAGTGAATTTTGAGTGTAAATTCATATATAAATAATTGTAAATAATGAATTAATCAACAGCAACACAAGCATTGTGTATTTTGTTTGTGTGTTGTATTATTATTTTGGGGGATATTATGCTTATTAGATGAAATATTAACTGAATAATTGAAGCTACATATCATAAATGATGACACCCCATTTTGAAAATGAATAGTTTAATCCATTTCTCAGTAAATATGGGTAATATATATTGGTGCATTAGAACAAAACAGATTGATTAAACAGATAAATTTATTAAAATAATATTTTTTGTCACAGAACATCTTTAGAAATGGACAGATAATACATTAAAATTCATGCAAAATACTGCATAAAAATAAAAAACTACAAAATTTCAACAAAATTGTAGATATTTTTGTTTCTTTTGATTTTGCTATTTTTGAAAATTTTATTTAATATTTTTCTTCAGGTTTGGCTTCACTACTCATTTAGCTAATGTTTATGCACAAATATAATTTTGTAAAGCATCCTACAGAAAACGTTAATTTAAATGAGAGATTTGTGAGGGTGGTACTCTTATATGCTGATCACTGTACATGAATAAGTAGTGAATAATATTTATATTAACAAGCATTTAATTTGTCATTTCTTCTTGGAGCAACATATTGTGCAAAAATGCTTCATTTGTGTGTTTGTAATATGAACACTGCATTATATTTATACATTTTCGGTTACATGCAGAGGTGCGTTTCTGAAAACCATACCATTAGCCAACTTAGGTCGCAAGTTCCGCGTTTTCCAAATCCGTCGTTCCAACAAACATTCGCAAACTGCGTCACAAACTTGCCTGCTTGCAACTACACCTTTGGAGCTGTAGTTAGAAACATAGTTCCTGGCTGTGTTCTATTCCCAGCTATGCCCCCTATGCCCTATTCATTTTGAACATTCTAACCTTTAAACTTAGAAGGATTTTAAAAAATAAGCATTAAAGTCATCACTCTTAGTTGTGATTTGCTTTTAAAGTATTTTTACAGTTCAGTTTTAGCAATCTTCATGTTTACAATTGTGTTGCCTTCGTAGTGCACTTTGAAAACGTTTATGTCATTTTGAACACAGCCGTGGCTCATGACAAAGCTATCGATGACCTATTATTTAAAAGTGGAATTCATGTTACGTCTCCAAAACTTTTGAAAACAAAAATATATAGCATACGTTAATGCTTTTATTTATAGTAGTTTATTTATTAAGTATCTGTGTCATCTGTGTACATGAAATGAACCTGTTGGTTAGAACATTTCTGCGGTGGTTTGAATGTGTTAAATTGTAAAAGTTAAAAAATATATATAAATAAACCTACTATCCTACTCAATAATAATAATAATAATAATAATAATAATAATAATAATAATAATAATAATAATAATAATAATAATAATAATAATAATAATAAAGATAATATTGTTAATATTATTATTATTATTATTATTATTATTATTATTATTATTATTATTATTATTATTAATATTATTAAAGTAGGATTTTTTAAATTTCCTAATAAATATTAAATTTTATTTCTTAATAAATAGCCTCATTATTTGTTTATTTATTTATTTAATTTATATATGATATTAGAATATGGGT